GTGGGTGTGGGAGGGGGGGGGGGGGGAAGTTGTCGAAAATTGTGAATGCCGGAGAGGCAGATTGGAATCCCATTAAGGGTACCTATCCCCTATCCATCAATCCATATGCTACCTACCTCTCTTAAATAATTATTATTATTACTATGCTTTTGCAGATTATTGTTTTGGAAGATAAAAAACAATACATGACTTACAAGCAAGAGGAAGAGTTAAAAGCACAAGATAGAAGACCTTTTGATCTTTTGGTATGCGACCTTTTTCTTAATCTTAATCTACTACTATGGAAAAAAAACTCAAGTCTCATGTCGAATAGAGATTAGGTAATTAAATAATATATAAGTGAAAAACAACTCTTTTTTTTTGTAAGATTGAGTTAGGCTTAAATTCACTATTCTTATAGCTACTTACTTACTTCCATTCATTCTTCGCTTGTCTTGCGTTGCGCCAGGTCATCCTCAACCCCAAGCTCAAGTACAACACCAATAGAACTGCACTCTTTTTTGAAGGCTGCTTGAGGTCTGCCAATTATTCATTTTTCACCCTTTGTTTAAGAAATACTGTCATTCAGTTGCTGGGATTTTCTCTTAACTAGCTGTACCATATTTACATATATGCTTCCATTTAAGCAAATGCTTCATAGTTATTATGGCTAAGGGCTAAAAACTAGCAATTTTCTTTCAATATTCATAAGGTTTTGTGGAGGTTTAGTGCATTTCCACGATGAGGCATGTGCAACAGAACACTAGGATTTTTTAATATTATTCAGCTCTCTTATTGTGAACATGCCACATTTTAGTGAGATTTTCCTCCAACCTGATTCGATGCAATTGAGTTTGTTGGATTTATTATTGTTGTAGGTAACAACTTAAGCTTTTCAATAGTGTTGTCATAATTTTTAAAATAATCGAGATCACTTTATATTTGTGTTTTATGAGGTAGTAACGTGTCAAGTACATATATCTAGGATGCAATTAACATCATCATCTGCAATATCATTTTGCAGTGTGGCTGGATACTGTGTTGTGGTAGAGCGGTACCTTGATGTTGAAGTTGCAAGTTTTGATCGTTACGGTGAACCCCTCAAAATAAATGCTACTGGTTGTCAGGCCCGGATCTTACAACATGAGTGTGATCACCTGGATGGAACACTGTATGTTGATAAGATGGTACCTAGAACTTTCAGAGTTCTAGAGAACATGTATAAGCCTCTCGCCCATGGGTGCCCCAAACTTGGCCCCCGCTAATGCAGGTCTTAGGGCTTGAAGCTGGAGTTGACACTTCTAGATCTTACCATGTAGTCCAGATGCATTAAGTTAGAAATTGTACCTGCACGAGGGTACTCCGGTAATTTTGCTACTCCTGCTGGGTCTTCGTCTTCCATGATATATCCTAGGAAAAGAGAGGGGTACCTGCAAAAGCCACTCCAATGCTTAAGTCAGTCCTCGGTCTCAGAGATATTACTGCTGATTAAACTGGTAATTATGAAAACGTACCTTTGTTTGTCACTAATCGCACTTATTTATACTAACCTTAATGGGCTTAGGCCCAAATGTAGGCCCATAAGAGAATCCATTAGTGCTTATCCGTAATAAACAGGTTAAGTAGGTTATTCCTCGGTCCTTCCTTATATTTGACCTGGTACTTATACCCTTATCTGGTATAGAAATATTTTCTCAGTTTGGGAATAAGTAAATTCCTCTCAATTTTCAGTGTTATCATGTTGCAATAATTGTTAATTCAATCTGTTATTTTTTCTGATCAATTTACTTCATACAAGTGTTTTTTTTTGTTCATAAACATCATCTACATAATATCTTAAAGCTAACAACTAAAAACTAATATGTACTTACAAAATACGACTTTCATTAATCAAATATTATTTTAACATATAAGATACGTTAGATATTGATTTTGTCTTGTCTTCCAACGAATTTGGAGTATGTAAGATCAACATGATAGGTGTTTTTCTTTTTCAATATAATGTTGTGTGTTTATTAGTAGTCCGTTCAGGTGGCTTGCTTTTCCACTTATGCACATCTGATGACTAATTCCATTCCATGGTAGTGATCCTAGATGTAGGAGAATTTACCTTCTATTGAATGAAAACTTTATAAAAGTTGATGTTCTAGTAAGAAAAACAATCCAAATGTGTTTTTAACTGTTTTTGTGAATTTGCTTATTTCTTACGGTTAATCATAATTTTTTAGTAGATACCCAATCTTGATGTTTAGAGACACTAGACGAGAAAAGACAACTAGATCATTAGCGTAATTGGGATTTGACCAGAAAGAAAAGACAAGGAATGAGGAAAATAATCATCACAAAATTAACATCTTATACGGATCATAAGCGTTCACCATATCTGCCTTCCTCTTAAACAGTAGTCTACAAAATAATTACGGGGGAATTCATGAACTACTTTAATCTATCTGTACAAAAAACCTTATATTCAAACGAATTGAATAGCAGGGTTTGCATCGTTTGACTCTAACAAGACATTATGTCTAATAAAATCATCATCACTGCTTGGGAAACAGGTAGGAGGATACAAAAAACCTCGAGCAGAACCATGAGCTTGCCAGCAAAAAGAGCTGGTATTTCCTCCAAAGCATGATGCAAGAAAAATATTTTCTAGATGTAAACCTTCACATGGAGAGGCATCACTGCAAGCAAATTTAATTGCTTCATCGGTGGATGAAGTTCCTTGTATATCAATGAAGGATATATTCTCCACTCTGACAGCAGAAGTTTGCAATTTGATACAGGACATTACATTTTTACAACATATTTGAGTTGTAGTAGAATAACTCAAACCAAACCATCAATAAATGAACCATTCCATACATAGGTAAATTTACGGAATGAGCCCGTGAAAACTTCAAAAAATATATACCTCATTTCTACAAGAATGTGGCGAATCACAGTAGTATTGATCTATTATTATTGGATTGGACACATTTTCCATTAAGACATTCTGGAATGTGATCTTGGAAGCAAAGCCACTCCCACCCTAACGAAAATTTGAGACAAGTCAATCAATTTGTACGTTGCTTGGTGACATATAAAAAGAATGTGCTGCAGTTGTCAAGAAACTTATCTGCCATGTTTTGATTCTCAGCCCATTATCAGTATTGTAAAGATAAGCTCCATCAATAATTACATTTTGCACTTTCTCCCATTTCTTTGATTTTCCCAAGCTTCCAATGCTGAAAAATATATTAGTTTCAGTATCCATTAACAATTATACCACTAAATCTCTTAGAGAACTGCAAAGTGGAAATTACTTTCACCTTATGCCATGGCCAGGACCACAAGAGATGTTTCTGATCCAGATCCGTGAAGAATTTCTGACTATTGAAATGCAGTCATCACCTGAAATTGAACATTATGGATTGAAATTTTTTTCTTCTGATATATTACTTGATCACTAGATTCAGAAATTAGAGTAATCAATGCTCTTACGTTGGAATTCCATCCAATTTTATACATAATTTACACATGCAGAGTGTTTCAGAATTACATTATTTCCTGCTATCGTTTAAGTTTTACATGTATTTTATTTTTTTGATCTTTCTTTTCTCTTGACAACATCAAACTTGGTCCAATGTTAGTAAAAGGCTACACATCCTGAAATTAACATTATTAAGCATTTAGATGCATATCATCAAATTGAGACAGCTTTTAGCACCAACGAAGGGAAAAAATTCAGACAGCTACGTTATCAGGAAAAAGAAAATCTTATAAGATATTTACTTTATTCTTTATTACCGTAGGATCTCAAAAACATTGAATCTAGTGTCATTCTGCTTATCCTAATTTTTTTTAACAGGAGGTATGTTGTCATCTATTATATGACGAGTTATTTTATAACACTATATGAAAACTACTATTTGGTGTAAATAACATGCTAACATTACTGCTAAGACCATAATGTCATTCAAAATAAGTAAAGCTAATATGGCACTTGGTTGAGGATAAGGTACATGTTCTGATTACACTATCCCTGATCTCAACTCCCTTTTATATGTCCATCTTCAATCGTAGATTATATGAATTCTATCATTTTAGCACATTTAATCAAAGTTGTAGACTACAGTAGAGAGTGAATGGCCACCATAAAATTTGAGGTTCATATCTATCTATCTTCTATCCAATGTTGCATTGAGTTTGTTATCCCAAAAAGAAAAGAAAAAGATAATGAATGAGTGTCAACAGTAATACCATTTCCCTTTTATTGGACAGCTGTTAGCGCCGAATGCGCCAGAATAAAATAAAAAATAACTATATATAATACTAGGAAAAAGAGACTCAACATGTTTGTTTAAAAAATAGAAAGATTTAATACATCGTTTAGTGACTAGTTTTTTAAAAATTGAATTAAATCCTTAAATTGCAAAAAATAAAAGTTATCTTTATATGTTTTGATAATTTAATTTTTGAAATTAGAGATTTATTTATAATTCATGAAATTTAACATTTATATTATCATACTAGATAGTCACTTTAAATTATCATTTTCTTTTATTATCATAAAATAATATGATTAAGAGATAGCTGAACTAATAAAAGTGAAATTTTTTGATGTACACTCACATATTTTTTAATCAGTAATAATTGAAATCATATTAAAATATAGTATAATTTGTTAACATATTACTAAATATGTGTAAGTAAATTTGCTACCATTCACTCATTTATTTATTTTTTAAAAAGAAGAGTGTGTTAATAAGTTATAAATATGATTGCCTTAAAATAAAATTACGACAAATTACTCTAACTAAAAAAATTGTGTGTTGACTAATTAGTGCAACAGTATAAAAATATTTTTTAATTGATAATGAAAAGTTAAATAAAAGAGTTTCTAAATTAAAAAAGAGTATTTCAAATAAATTAGTAAAGATAAAAAAATGAAAAAGTCAAAAGCTAATAAGTTATACAATATTTCAATTAGTTATAAAAGTAAATTGTAATTTTCTAAATAAATTATGATAAACTAACTTATAAATTTTTCAAATGTTTTGTTAAACACACTTTTTAGTATACGTACAAATAAAAGGAAGGATGTATTATATATAAATAGATAGATAAATAAATAGATAACAAATGATGTATTTTTTTATATGTGAAAATCAAATTTAATATCAAAATAATTTACAACAATTCATGCATGTCATTTAATCAGTTGAGTTAGATCTTAAGTGAATATTAGATATATCCATAATTTTTAATTTATGAAAATCAAACTTAATATAGAAAGATTTATAACACCTACACACTCATTAACTAGTTAAATTAGACTCATTTAATTTTGAGATCATGCTTATCCAAAATTTATGTTATATTTGAGTAAAAGTAAGTTACTTTTATGATCCAAATCAAAGTCCACTCAATGAGAATCCAAACACTTTCATTTTATTTATTTATAGAAATCATGAACTTGAAATAATAAGATTTACAACCACTTACGTACCTTCACCAATCCGGCTAAATCCGTTGATAGAAGCGAAATACATAATAATTAATAATGTGATGGTAAATAAAGAGGAACTAAAAAAAAAGATAAGAAAATTGAAATAAAAGAGAAAGTAGTGGTGCAATAATTACAACTTTTATTAGAAACTCGAATCCGTTATTTAAAATTCTTAACAAATTGTCATGCCTATTGCTAAAATGATTTAATATATAAAATATAGAATGATAATTTATATCAAAATAAAAGTTCTTTGTACGACTACTCAATTACATATCATTACTTCACTAAAACAATAGACTACTATGACATTTGATTAAAAGCTAAAATACTTTAATGATTTTGCCAATTCATGATTAACGACAGTTTATATATATATTCTCTTATATATTCTTCCCTTTTTCATATAAATATATAGTATCCATAATACATAAAAATAAAATTGATATAAAAATAAAGAATGATTGCTTTCTATATATATATATA